TAGCAAGCAGAAACATGGAGCTCAACATAAACATTAACCATTTCTATAATAAGAATCAAAATCAAGCGACCAGTTTTTGACTTAACCACAGAGTCAAGTAATGAGCTAACTTAACAGAGAGTAACCAACCTAAAAAAGAGTTAATGAGCTAACTTAACAAAGAGTAACCAACCTAAAAAAGAGTCCGTCATCATTCACCCAAGAACAAAGTTAAACCCTAAAGCGTAATCACTAATCGCACTGAGAAAAGACAAATCACGAGTAGAATCCTTAATTAAACAAAGCAAGCTAAAAGAAGACAACTGAGAAACAGAATAAGAGAATATGCTTACCGGAGAAGAGGAACAACGGTGGAGTCAGAATTACAAGTGGTGGTGAGTCACAGTCGCAATCGCCGTCGCGTGGAGAAAGAGAAGGAAGAAAATGAGACAAGTAAATGAATCCGTAACTAATGAAACCCTATTTTTTCGTCAGCATCATAAACGACGTCGTCTTTTCTTTGTTCAAACGACGACGTATTAAGATTTCAATTTTTATGCCTTTCAATATGGTATCGTTTAGAGACTTATAAGTGAAGATGGTATAATGTAAATAAAATCCATCAGTATCAAAGTCATATCTTCCCTAAATTATTCTCTCTATGTATACTACATAACTATCTTCCAAGTTTCATCTTTGAATGATATGATAATATCTTTGTAACTTATTTTAATGAAATTCAATAGAAATCCTTTTATATATATATAAATCGGAAAATGACGAAAGCCAGAGGGAGGGATTCCAAAGGACTACAGATCAAAAGCAAGACGAATATGCATCATACCATCCATTTCTTGCTTGAAATTAACCATGGCATCTTTTGGCAATGTCATTACCACTCTAACCCCACCTTCCATTGCTGGATCCAGCTTGGATGGTCACAAAATCATCACCAAGTTCTTGGCGCTTTCTTGAAACATTAGAGGCTTCACATTCACATGCTCGTTCCAAACAAAATCGATTGATCCAAACAACCTGTTGACATTTCTTACATTGGTCGTCATCGATAATCCATCGATTACCTTGTCGAATTTCACATCCTCCTAATCATTCTCTCCGTGTTTCTTAGCTCTTCCTTCATATATATTTACGATGCCTGAGATCGATGATTCTTGGAGTTCTCTTGTGGTTAACTCGATGTATACCCCTATGATTGAGTTGCCAGTTCTAAGCAAATGCAAGAGGTGAATTTGCACCGGATCCACAATTTTTGTTTAGCAATTTTCTTCATATTCTAGGGTTTTGTATAAACAAATTAGGGCATTTTTGAAAATCAAGTTGTTATTACCTACAAAAATCAGATTTTTTTATAATTTTGCACTGAAACCATTTTATGAATGAGCCGAGCCTCAGTAATAACCCTCAGACAATGGTAGATCAAGAACATCTCGGATTTTGACTACTATGTCAAAGACAGTAATCTTGTCAAGGTCTAGGTCTAAGGCTCGAGATCTTAATTTCCATATGCAAGCACAATTGCACAAGGAATTTCATAATAAGTAGTGAAACTCGCCTTCGTGAATTCACGTTCCCTAACCAAAGTATCTTTAAGCACTTTTATATTCCCAGCCAGCCTTAATGCTTATATTCCTTACATACTTTAAATTTGAACAAACAAAATATTCTTTTAGTCGTGACACATAAAATAGTGATTTGTGCTAATAACATTGTTGGATCATTATCACCAAAATTTAAACTCACATAATGATTTTAAAACACAAATTGTTCTTTTTGAAGTCCAATTAGTACACTCCTGCTAAATTAAATCTGGTTTACTCTCCTCTTCAAAGTCCGGTCAATTCTTGAAACATAAATTTGGAACGTTTTAAACCAGTGGGTGGTGGTCCAAATATTGGGTTTACATTCTCATTTAGCCGCCTTTTCAACGCCGACTCTAGTCTGAACAAAACCCATTTCATGGTTACTCTACATAATAGCATTGATTGACTTTAACAAAAGCACATTCAAAGGTGAGTACTTAAATAATTATAACTGGGAGGTGAAATGCAAGATTTAACATATCAATTCCAAATTTATATATAGAAACTAACACATAAAAGTCTCATAAAAAACATTCTTAACTTCAGAGATCACAAACAAGTTCCATTATAGCATATTGTTCTCTGATACGTACTTACTAAAGATCAAAGCTTTTATTTAGTTGATAGATAAGCATGGGAAAAAAAAGTCAACAAGCAGAGGTCCTAGCTTTATGACCTTAGACTCGTCAGGTGATGCTCCGAGAAACATAGCGTCCAAAGCCACTTTGACAAACGTATCCTTCTTGTTGTAGTATATCTGCACACTCGCAACAGGCTTTCCATCAATTTTCTCCACGGTATCTATCATCACGTCTCTAAGTCCAACATAGCGGGTTCCATCAGATGACGAACCACCGTAAATTCCCTACCACAAACAAGGAGAAGCAAAATGAACAAGATTAGTTCAATTTCTTTGTCGTAAATCTCAGATAATTTTAAGACTTTGAAGTAACAGCACTCAGATAATCAATCCATTATCTTCTTTCAAAGGATTAAATTGATTTTGCCTTTTTTAAACCATCTTATACCATCTAGTGCTGGCGCTTCATTCCCAATTTCCCTGTCCATGATCCCCTCCTCATCCCCAAAATTTTCCAAGTCCTATTTCACAAAACAAGAGAACATTGAAAACTTTAAAATTCTATTGAAATATTCTGAATATTTAGATGGGATAAGCCAAATTAGGCGATAATAATCATTACTTCTGAAATTGGTGGACATACTGTAGAATCAACTAAATCAACCAACTCGGCCAAATGGGCTTTACTAGCATCTTTCTCCACCCATTCCTCGAAATCTAAGGGAGCCTGTTATCAAAAATGATTAGATCACACTAAGAGGGCCATAATACAAATAAAAAATGAGATATCTACATACCTGCTTTACATGATCATCTTTACCTAGTAGACACGGATTCTGCAAGAAAATTTACGATGAGATGTTATAAGGATAACATTACAAAATCCTGTAAAGGGTAAACTAGAGAGAAATAAATTCTTACCTTAATACCAAAGATAGCAAACAGAATAAGGTCTTCACATGGAAATCTCCATTTATGTCTTCTCTTTGGACGTGGAAGATTACTCCATTCAAATTCTTTGCAAGCGAGACCAATGCATATCAGATTCCTTGCAGCCATGTCTTCGACAGCATCTCTAAGTTGCTTTTTCTAAAAAGACAACTTATTTAAAAACAGAAAACATGATTCTACCACATTGTGAATCAAATAAGCAGAGACTACAAACCTTGGTTTTAGTCATTTCTAAATATTCGCCGTTACACTCGTACTTCGTGCATTTATCCAAAATGAATGTAGCATTTCCTTTCCAGTGAATTCGAACGCCACATTCATATGTTTTTCGCTGAAAATGGAATAAAAGTTTCAATAGAAGTGGACAGAGAAAAATAAAAATTAATAGAAAATGGAAACGTTTGAGAATGAAAAATACATACACAGTCTACTGCTACGCCAAGACACATCTTCTTTGAATTCTGTGGAGAACCTTTAATCGTCGTACCAGACTTGTCATATGAAATGTTCATGTTCATTTGCAACTGTGAGTTCCAAAAAACAAATATGCAATATATTTATCTATACAACTACAAAAATTCGAACAATCAAGGAATTGAAACTATAAATAAAACCTGAATCGCCCATTTAAGCAAAGCTCGGTCTATTGGATTTCCAATGACCTCATTTTGACCATCCTGTCACGGGAAAATATACACATTATAATATTCATTCAACAGAAGTAAAATTATAACCAAATAGAAACAATTACATAGTAGTCATACCTCATCTTGATAAACAAGTCCAGATGTGTTATGGAAAATCCCTTCAAGAATAAATAATGATGTCTCTCTTGAGCGAGTCACATGGTGATCTATCTTATGACCATCAAGATAGCATTCGACAACTTCTTTCTACAAAATCGAAAAAAGTGTTTGAAACGTATCAGTATGACATCACAGTATTTAAGTTTCTAAGATAATAGCAAAATAACGTGTATTAAAGATAAACAACATATAGGAAAAGGGAAAATACCTCATATGCTGGTCGGACTTCTCCATAGGTAAATGATCTAAACAATCTGCCCGGACGTCTAAATGATCGTAATCCTTTTGTTTCCAATTGAAGTATCATAATATCTAAAGAAACTTTGATATATCCTATCTTCTTCCTCTTTCCTTTTTTAGTGCCATGACTATTCTTTATAAGTCCAATGGTCTCCCCGTTCTTATCCCTTTTAATATACCGTAGGGAGCACGAATGCCATCCGGTGAACTCGGAATCTTTTGATGTTGGTCCACAATAAGTAGCACACTAAAAAGTTAGAAAATTAGATAGTTTTAGATATATACAATTTCAACTAAAAAATGTTAATAGAAACAAAATACCATATAAAAAGACTAATAGAGTTGCGTCACTTACTTTGTCAATGTCATCGACTTCGGTAGTGTCATCGACTTCGGTAGTGTCATCTACTACGTCAATGTCATCGAATTCGGGACTGAAGATTGCAATAGATCACAATATTGGTTGGATCTTCAAGTATTTCAAAGCCGTGTTTACGCCAGTAAAGCTTCTAACATCATTTAAGACGTGTTTGCGTTTGACTTCACCAAGATTACGATTCGGAAGGAACTTGGTTCCGCATCCAGTACCCGTCCAATCAGCTTGTTTTGGTATACCATTGTTCATTGCGTATTCTAACCCTTTGAAGGTCGAGTGCCCATAACAGTAATGATCCCCTTCGCTATCTACGTACTTTTTTGTTGCTTTTTCACTATCCACAAAATCAACTAAATACTGACCTGAATATGGTATGTACTTTTCATTGATAGAATTATAAAAACATGCATCGCTGATATTCTCAGAACCCGCAACTGACCAACAATACTCTACAATTTCAACCAAGAATGTGTTTTTGTAAATGCAACCAATAGTTAGAAACAAAAATAGAGAATAGAAACCTAAGATAATTTTACCATGTTTTCCTTGGTTTTGTATTGGGAATCGCGTATCGTACCAGTCCGCTCCATGCAAATTCTCTTGCCTAGTCTGAAATTAGCACAAAGGCTGATTGAGGAAACGAAGTAAAGAGACAAATAAAGATATCCCATGACAGAAATTTACCTCGTTTTTTTTCCAAATTGTTAAAGTTGCTTCATCAGTACGAAGATAATGGAACTTCCCTCCATCTGGCTCCTCCAGCGCAATTGTTGTCAGAAATGGAAGCAAGTCTGGAGGATAGTTGCGCTGCATGTCAAAATAAGTCGATTATCAAGTCAAACATACCAAACAAATGTATAGAACACTATCTAAATTTCTTATTTCTTGATCCCCTTAACAAAGTTTCCATAAGATTTAACAAGAAAATAAAGACCCCTAAACATAAACTTGCAAAGAAAAGTGATTATAGAGAACAAATGAACAAAGAATTACCTGTGCAGAAGTGCCTTCTCCAGGTTTCTTCACAGGCTTCTTCACATCCTTCATACATATATATGATCATATTATGACAAATATAGCAATATATTTATCTATTTAAATCAAACAGAAGGCATTGTTTTCTTGTACATACAAGATATAAAGCTGGTTCAGAAAGGTGAGCCATGTGGCAAATACTAAATCCTTGTACCTAGATGCACGTGAGTTTTGCTTCTGACCTGACGAGGCCACAAAAGCAATTTAATATCGAGCACAAGTACTTAAATTGGTGATCAATGATCTAGAAAAATAATAAGAAGAGACAAACCTGGAATGGCAGAGTAGTAGTTAAAACCTGTTGGTACGTTTAAAAAATCGATCTTGAGAAAGCAGTCTTGAATTACAGAAAAAGTCTCAAAAGCATTCATAATTTCAAACCACAAACAACAAATAAGTTCCAAACATCTTAACTTAAATAAAAAAATCTCTTAAAACATTCATAATTTTGGACCAGAACAAACAAACAAGTTCCATTAGTCACTTACGAATGCAAACAGAGGGAAAACAAGAGAATGTGGAGACATTTGCTTCCAAACATACAGCAAAATCGAGCAGAGGAAGACATTCAAATCAAACAGAGAAAGAAGATATAGCAAAGTCAGAGAACGACCAACAAAAAACAAGACCTAATAGCAAGCAGAAACATGGAGCTCAACATAAACATTAACCATTTCTATCATAAGAATCAAAATCGAGTGACCAGTTTTTGTCTAAACCACAGAGTAAAGTAATAAGCTAATTTAACAAAGAGTAACCAACCTAAAGAAGATTCCAACATCATTCACCCAAGAACAAAGTTAAACCCTAAAGCGTAACTATAAGTTTCACTANTCGCACTAAGAAGGGTAAAGCAAAAGCAGAATCNGTAACAAACTAAAGCAAGCAAAACGAGTCGAAATGAGAAACAAAATAAGACCATCGAGAATATGCTTACCGGAGAAGACGAACAATGGTTGGAGTCAGAACTCAGAAGCACAAGTGGTGGTGACAGTCGCAATCGCCAATCGCCGTCGCGTGGAGAAAGTGCAGGAAGAAAATAAGACAAAAATTAAATCCACAAACTCAAGCCCTACTTTTTCGTCGGCATCATAAACGACGTCACCTTAAGATATCGATTTTCGGGTCGTTTTAGAGTCGAAAAAGTGAAGATTGTATTTCGATTTTCATACCTCCATCAGGAATATCGAGATTTTTGTTTGCGTGGTCTTGGGGTAGCGGTAACAGCGCATGGAGTGTTAGTGAACGTCCTCCTGAGGGAATTGAAACAGCTTGAAGAGTTGAACATCATTTGACATATCGTGTTGGTTTGGTAAGAAGCCATCTCCAAGAGCCCACCTTTGGCTCCCGAGCTGCTATAATCATAAGCCAATCTCCTCCACTACGTGATCAGCCGCGCTGTAATTTGAAGAAGATGGGCTGTTACCGCCACCCCAGACTGCCCAATTCAGATCTGTAAGAACTACCACACCTTTGCCAATCCAACTTGCGAAAACTGAAACTTGATGAAATGGGCTTTGCTTTAAATCATCTGGAACTCCTCCTCTCTCAATTCTACCCATGAGTTTTGCAACCACTCCTTCTGTTAGAGACACAGAGTCTATTACTATCACAGTGTTCCTCTTCTTGTTGTTCTTCATCTTAACCATCCTCGGTGCAGTACCAAATTCCGGTTTCCTCTTGTGATTGACCAAACCAGAATTCGATTTGTTACACTTCAACATCATTGGTATGACAAAAGGTTCATTCTCTATGCATTCATCATCTTCTCTCGTCAGCAGGAAGATGATTTGGCTCTTCTTTCCTTGAAAATCATCCAAATCTCTCAATTTTGCGGCATTAAATCGCTCTACGAGGAGTTTCATCAACCGGGAAATCGGCTAATTCAACCCGCTCTATCAAAACAACAACTTTTTCCTCAACGCATTCTCGAGCTCCTCGCACGCTTCACTTGTCTTGGGTGTTCTTAGACTAATCTTCAACATATTATCGACTGACCCGAAAAGAGAAGATGTGACTGTGAGAGCCATTCTTCTTTTCGCAGTCACATCGTTCCCCGAAACCAGCATCCAAATATCAATCCTCTTTACAGATTCTTCCATGGCTTCAACGATTGAAGGAAGAACTTCCCTTTGCCATGAAATGTTCTCGTGAAGCTTTTTCGATAATTCGCTCATTGTAATTACTCTCTTTTGTTCTTCGTCCTCGGACTTCTCTGAATCAGAGATGGGAATGGAGAATGACCATGTGCAAGAGTGATCTTGGTTTCCACACCTTCATTATTGTTAATCTTGATCCATCTAAACTCAACTCATCGGTTAGATTCTTCTTTAGACCTTCTTGATGGTTACTTCCAAAACTAAACTCGAGCGTACACGAGTTCTGTCGTCTGAATTTAGCCACCAAACTAGATGCACGTGAGTTTTGTTTCATTCCCGAGTCTACAAAAGAAATTGTAGCTGCGGTGTCCGGAAAAACAGAGCTGCTCTGTTCCGTGCCCCAACCGTAGCTTCGAGCAGTCATACCGGGTTTCCTGTGGTGAAGAGTTTGACAAAATCGGTTCCATTTTTTCCTTAGTCCATTCAGTTCATCCTGAAACTTAAACCCACAAAGAAAAACAATTCAAGTAACTGCAGAAACACCGGTAACAAAACAAATATTATTCATTTACCAACAATTTGTGTACCTTTTGGTTAATATTGTTGCTGTCTTCGTGAGGTTGCAGCCAGGGCGGTAAGATTTTGTGTTGAGCTGATACTAAATCTTTTGCTTCTTTCTCATAGTTGAAAGCACATTCTCCACAGAATTTGAG